AGGGTTTTTTGGTCCATCTTTCTTGATGATTTTGCTGCCTTGGTGTTCCTGTTTCGCTATGCATCCTGAGTGCTTTGATCTTTTGGTCACTTTGTTATTTTAGCCTTCGTTGTCCTGTTGTTTTTTATTTCATAGGTTTTTTGTGAAACCTTTTGTCTAGTTTGCCCCCTTTTTTTTGAACTTTTGTTTATGTTAAGCTCTAGGGTTTTATTTTCACAGTTGTAATTTATCTTAATTAATTTTATACGGGCTTATGCCCCAAAATTCTTAAAAAAAAAAAAAAATTTTGGACTACATCTACCTTCTTCTTTCTTCCCTGCTTTTCTTATATATCAGTAAATGTCTCCCAGCTTTTCTAGGTTTGCTAGATACAAGTAAAAAAGCCAACATATGTTATTTTAGCTAAAAGAAAAAAAAAAAATTATTTTAGAAAAAAAAAAAAAAAAAAAAACGGCTACGGGGTAGTAGAGACTAAGACTAGCGAAAGGATCAATAGGGGAAATCTCGCTCTGCTAGGGTTTTGCGATTTTTTAGCGATTCTCTGGCCGCCGCCATCCTTTAAGGGAGGATCTCCTCCGGGATGTCCTCCGCCTCCACCCCCAAGCAAATCTCAACCCCTTCATTCTCCGCTTCCCTTCCTAAAGACTGGAAGAACCTTTTTGCTTCCCAACCGCTTGTTTCGAATGAGTTCACCTCCTCTATAACACATCATCCCACAGAAAATGCTACCGCACACTTCACCTCCGCTCAGTTCTCTGCTGGTTCGACTGAGTGGGCTCTTTCCCTCGTCGGCTACTCGATTGGGAAAAGACCGTACTACGAAGCCCTTTTATCTACGATCAAGAAAGCTTGGAGCTTGAAAGGCTCTCTTACTCTTCTCACTCTAGATGAAGGTTTCTTTCTTCTCAAGTTCAACAACCGTGAAGATTATGACATGGCATGGTCGGGAGGGCCTTGGTTTTTCTTCGGAAAACCATTCATTCTTCAAAAATGGACTCCGGAGTTTGTTCCCGTTCGTGAAGAGTTTCCCTCCATCCCGATCTGGATAAAGATCAAAAATTTCCCGCTTGCATGTTGGACGCCCGACGGTATCTCTAGAATCGCGAGCTGTGTGGGGATTCCGCTTGCGGTTGATGCTCTCACTGCGGCAAAAACCAGGCTCACCTTTGCTAGGGTGTGCGTTCAGGTATGTAGCTCATCCCCTTTGCCGGATGTGTCTCTTTTTTTTAATGTTAGTAATTATTTTAAATATTTAAAAATTATAGTTTAATTAAATAATTTAAACACTTATTATTAATTTTAAGTATTAAATATTAATTTATTTTATTATTGAATATTTTTAAACTTTTATTATTATTATTAAATATTTAAATTTAATAAATAAAATAAAATTATTTAAAAAAGATTTATAATTATTCAAGCCGGCTTATGAGCCGAGCCTCATCGAGCTCGAACTCGACTTGTGAGCTCAATAAGCTCGTCTCGCAAGCCTATAAATGAGTCGAGCTCGAGTTAGCTCGGCTCACTTACACCCCTAACCGGACCCCATCCGGAGGTAATTCAGGATGTGCCCCATCACTTTTTTTGACGTGCACAGCTTCAAGAATTAAGATAGGTGAGGAGCGGGCAGATTAAGACCTTAATTTTTTTTTTCCATTTTCTCAAAAAAAAAAATGGTCAACTAATTTGAGGGATTTCGGTTAACAAATATCTTTTGCTTTTTATGTAAATATTTTTAATTTAATTTCCTACCTTGATAGAAAAAATTTATTTATTTATTTGAGAAAATAAAAAAAAATCTTTAGGTCGTAATTGACCGCTCCTTGCCATCTTAATTCTTGAAGCTGCGGGCAGACAGAGAGAGAGAGAGGGAGGGAGAGGTAGAGGACTTACGGTGATGACTGAATGACGGCTCTGGCGTGCTAGCCTTACAATAAAACCCACAATTAGAGAGAAGAAGGCCGCAACAAGAAAAACAAAGCATAAACTGTGCTAGCTTCCTCTATTCTTCTTTCAACATATTGTGAGGATCTTGTTTGGGAGGAAGAAGCACTTTCTTCGTGAGCTTCTTGGGAGAGGAGGAGGGAGAGAGGGAAGGGAGAGGGAGAGGTCTGAACTCAAATCTTATTGCTTAATCATACAAATCTATTACATCATATAGCTTATTTATAAGCACAAAATAACAACATAATAAGTTACACAAAAACTTCCTAAATCTTAGACCGATATCCAAGTATCCAACACATATTTACGTATCTGAACCTTTGTTGTTGTTTTTATATATATCAAGCTATTGCATTATAAAAGTCCATATTACTAAAACAGCTAAAAAAGATAGACGCTGCAGGTGGGAAAGTGGACAAAATGGCATTCGTTAGTGTACATATAAATTTCATTAACAAAAATGAAGGTTACAAGATTAAAAAAATAAAAAAGACTAGGTAGTGGTAGTTTGCCTTAAGACTAAATAGACTAGGTAGTTGATGCAACTCACCTTGGCCCAATTGGTTGGAAGTTTTGGCTATTAATCAAGAGGTTTTGGGTTCGAGTCTTGTTGCGTCCTAGAGTATTCGCTGCAGTGGAAAAATAAATAATTTAACGTCTTAGCATTGTACGAAGATCCAGCACACAATCAGATAAGAGAGAGGGTGTAACATTCATAAAAGAAACCAAATTTTTTACGTGGAAAACCCCTAAAAAGAGGGAAAAACCACGGGGCCTAACCCAGTTTGAATGAATACACTAGTATTTGCAGTCGATTACAAATGAGGCCCTTCATTGGGAGAAGGCCTTGGCTTGATGATACAAATGTACATCATAAAGAGCGCATTACATGGTGGGAGTTACAATATAGACATGTTTGATTGGTCGGCAATACCATAGTCGGTAAGATGGAGACCGGAAAGACCGTTGTCTGGTGATGGAGGTCAGAAGGACCGTAGTCGGCAGGAGACCAGGGTCAGAAAGACCGTTGTCAAGTGATGGAGGTTGGATGGACCATAGTAGGTGACGGAGGTCAGGAGACTAGGGTCAAAAAGACCGTTGTCTGGTCATGGAGGTCGGCAGTATTCTGGGAGAACTCTGGGCATCAAGTGGTGGCCTGGTGGAGCTCAAGGCCGCAAGTAGTGGTCCGGCGGAAGTTCGTGCCTCAGGTGATGTTCTAGTGGAGCACAGGGCATCAAGTGGTGGTACGGCAGAAGTCCGGGTCTTAGGTGATGGTCCAGCGGAAGTAACGGCGTTAGGTGGTGGTCCGATTGAGGTGAGGGCCTCAAGTAGTGGTCTAACGGAGCAACGACGTTAGGCGGTGGTCCGGCGGAGGTGAGGGCCTCAGGTGGTGGTCCAGTGAAGTACGGGCCTCAGGTGGTGGCCTGATGGAGCACAGGACCTTAATTGAACTTATTATTACATAAAGATATATATATATATATATAATAATAATAATAA